CCCGACAAAAAAACATCTGGAGGGCACTGCATTGGCTACTCTGGGAATAGTATCATTAGGCTGAACATTACAGTTTGGAGGCAGCTGGAATTACTCAGAGGAATTGCGACCATGCTGCATGCTAGGGCCAAGACTGGAGGGGACCACGCTGCAGATGAGTGCATGTATACAGCATAGCACTTTGTGCAGCCCACCAAACCAACAACTCAGAGATTTAACTGTTTCCTCTTGGACCCATCCAGGAAGATTGCAATGCTGCCTGTGAATTCTTTCTGGGCTCTTCCAGTGCCAGAATTGGCAGTCAGTTTGGACGTCAAACAAAACAGCAAGACCAGAAACCTGGCCAGGTAGCCTGAAGGCCCTTCATTTTAACCTAGATTTCAATGCCTTCTACAAGCTTAAGAAGCTGAAGTGCTGTGGCTGAAATAGCAGGTAATGTGGATTAGCAGGTAATCTATCAAGATTTCGGAGAGCATGAACTGCATCTCTTTCTTGGGCCATGATGTGAGGCAGAGATTGGCAAACATTTTGGGGCTGATGGGCATATTTGTAAACTGGAGAAATTATTGTGAGCACCACATACATGCTTCAACATTCCCCATCCCGTCTTTAATACTACCATCCCATCATCCCCCATGACACAATTAGCTGGGAGGGGGAGCCCTGCTATTGGCTAAGGATGGCTTATTTAAAGCATAATTTCTGCAGAAGGAGGGGTGGAGAAGAGGACCCTGCAGGTATCAGAGAAGACCACTTTGGGCACATGCACACTCAGTGGCGCCACGTTGGTGACCCATGGTGGGGTGTATTCCTATTCCACATGGGGGCAGTCATTACACAACTGTAGTCACACAGAGTTGCTTTGCAGCAGCTGAACCTTCGTATTCACTAAGGAGGAAGCATTTGCCTTTGAAGTACAACTGGGAAGTAGAAAAAGTGAAGAGCTCAGGATCTGACTATGAATAATATCTGAATATTAATCCCTTGAGTGTCAGGATGGGTAGATAGCAAATTAGAGAAGCTGCTCTGCTTGTGTCAAGATGAAAGGGAAAGGAGGTAGCTCAGCAGGAAAGGAAAACACAGCCTGAAGTATCGGAACTAGCATTAACTGAGTGAGGACTGGAGCAGATGAACCCAGTTCTGGAAAGCAGGTAGAAACTCAAAGAAAGCTCAGCAGTGACAAGGGCAACCTAGCTAGTGGAAAAGTCAGCATATAAGCAAATTTGTGGGCTTAGACCATGGTTAAAACTCAGTTTGGGTTTTTAAGTGCAGCTTTTAAATGAAAACAGCCCTTTCCAACCTCTGATCTCAAAATATTTTTGGATTGCAGTTCCCATCAGCTCCAGCCATCTTGGTCAGTGGTCAGCAATAAGAACATAAGAAGAGCCTTGTTGGTGGATCAGACCACAGATTTATCTGGTCCAGTATCCTGTTTTCCACACTGGCTAGCCAGATGCCTCTGAGAAGCCCATAAGCAAGACTTGAGCACAATGGTTCTCTCCCAGTTGTGAACCCCAGCAACTGGTATGCAGAGACCTGCAGCCTCCAAACAGTCAAGTTGGAAAATAGGTCATCATACATCTTTGTCTTGTGGTAGGGAAGTCCATCATTTAGCTAAGTGCTGTGCCAAGTGCTTCCTTTTATCTGTCTCAAATCTCCCACCTTCTGCTTCCCTGGATGGCCCCACAACTTCCAAAATATTGGGAGAGGAACAAACACTTCTCTCTATCCACTTTCTTTACTCTCCACTTCACTCTATTCTTCTCAGCTGAAAAACTCCAAGCAGCATCATTTTTCTCATAGGGAAGTTGCTCCAGCACCTATTATTATTATTATTATTATTATTATTATTATTATTATTACTATTATTATTATTATTATTATTTGTATACCACCCTATACCCGTGGGTCTCAGGGCAGTTCACAGCACAAAGTTGCGGTATACAAAGCACAAAATACATAATAAAAGCAGAAAATTCATAATCAAAATAATCAAAACATAAAGACGGTAAAACATGGCTTTTCATTCTGTGAGCTAACGCCTTCTCCCAAGCACATTGTAAGTCTTCCTCCAAAGAACTCCACATGTCTTTCCATTGTTGATTCTTGCACCACTGATATCTACTCCAACCATCAATTGTCCATTTAGTGAAAGGATCTCATCTCGCAAGTGAACCTTTCTACATTTCCCAGCTGGGCTGTTTCTCTTTAAGCTGGTGACCCAGATGCTTCTGACAATCCAGCACAGGACATCTATGCCCCTTCCTCCTCTTGTTGGCCTGATCATGCATGGATGATGTAGTCCAATATATCTGGGATGCACCCGACCAAGGACAACTGAACTTCAGTGTAGACGTAGACCTCAGTTCAATTTTTAAAAGTTCATTTCTCACACTCCAGGTTTTGTTTTGTTTTTTAAACTGGGCTAAGTTTTTAAAAGTACACATTGCAGCAGGCTTAGAGTGAATCAGACTCTTGCATCCCTAAAGGGGTTTCCAACTGCCTACAGCCTCACTTTGCTCATCGCCCATTCATTCTCCTGAGTCTAGTGCAACCAAGTAGCTGATTCATACTGTTATATTTCAGTGAGGCAGCAGGCTACAGCAGAAGTCGCATTAAAATAGTAAAGTAGGACATGTTTGTGAGTGAGCCTGGTTTGACAAGCAGGAGGGGAGTTCCAACAGTTACAGTTTGAAAGCATTTTGGAAAACAGGTGTTGGGAAAGAAATCTGCCTACAACACTGTTTGAGTTTAGTGACAGTCAGATGAGACAATTTAAACTTTAATTATTTAAATTTGTATGCCACTTTTCCATATAAATAGGCTTAATCCTGGCCTTAGTGAACCAGTGTTCACCAAGTGTTCCAGCTCAGTATAAAACACTTTACTATAAGATGACTTTGGATCCCAGGTTGTTTCTAGGTCCAGTTTAACATGCTGGTTCTAAAGTTTCAAAACTCTAATTGGACTGAGACCAGGTTGCTTATCTTTTCAGTTATTTATTTATTCATTGCATTTATAGACCTTCTTTCTGCCAAGACACCCAAGGTGGTTTACAATTTTTAAGGTCTAAAACAAACATTTAAAGTTGGCATGGGGGGCAATCCTACTGGAACCAGTCCTACTGTTCTCTATGCCTGCCTCCCTTGCCCTCTTCTTTCTCCTCACAAGTCAGATAGTATCAGAAAGATCACCCCCTCAGCCCTTACGCCTTCTGAAACCAAGGTCATCTTTGGAGGCCTTAATCCAGTGGCATTAGTAAAAGTGAGGCAGGTGGCTATCGAGGAGAGGGCCTTTTCAGTGCTGGCACCCTGGAAGAAACATTTTTATTCACCCAGGATTTTAAATCGTGGGTTAAACTAAGCCTGGTCTGTTGTAGTCTAATGTACTTTAACCCAGGCTGTTAACTGATTGTGCTGTCTCTAATGATGCATGCATTTTATTGCATGTTGTTAGTTTTGATTCTTATATCTCACATTTTTAATGTTGTTTTGTTTTTAAGCTGCCCAGTACATATTAATATAAGGGTAGCGACATGAATGAATGAACTGACCACATAAATAAATGCTTCAGGGATTCAGCCTAAGACATCCAGTAGATCATGCCAGATTTATATCCTGTTCTTCCTCCTGAAGAACAGGGCAGCAGGTGGAGAAATGATTACAAAAATAATAATTTTAAAACAATATAAACACATTGTAAACACAACCTTCTTAAAAACCTTCTTTCAGCCAGTGATCTCAAGGTTGCCATGAACCCTGAGATCACTGGTTAAACATATAATAGATATTCCATTAGATGTTGGGTTCCATTTGCCTCCCAATTTGGATTTTTACATGTTGTCATATAAACTAAAGCTGCTTTATATTGAGTCAGACCACTCAACTATCTAGACCAGTATTGTCTACACTGAATAGTGTGGTGTTTCATAAACTAAGGCAGCCTTTGTCAACCGGGTGCCCTTCAGATGTTTTGGGCTACAATTTCCATCATCATTGTTGGGTGAGGATGGTAGGAGTTGTCCAAAACCACGAGGAGAGCTCCAGGTTGAAGAAGAATCCACTATAGTATCAAGTGGAGAGGGGTCTTTTCCAAATGTCCTACCCATGGTCTTGTTACCTTGACGATGCCATGGATATTTTTTTTTATTGCATTTATATTCCACCTTTTTTTTAACCTAAGGACTTCAAAGTGCCATACATTGAATCTCCACAGCAACCCTATGAGGTACGTTAGGCTGAGAGGCAGTAACTGGCCCAAGGTCACCCAGTGGGCTTCATGACTGAGTGGGGGTTTGAACTCTGGTCCCATAAGTCCTAGTCCAACATCCTAACCACTGCACCACACAAGATTGCACCTGGGACCTTTTGCCTGCAACACAAGCTAATTCCATTGATTACTGGCGTCCGCCTCTTGGGGAGGGGGGCAGAAGGACCAAACATGACACAACAGGGTCCATATTAACAAGTGTCCATGATTAGACATCTTGAGTTCTGTGCTGTATATCGATTTGTTTCTTCCACCCTTTCCAGTGCCTCCACGGTTCAAAAAAGCTGTTTTTAATACAATTTCCTTTTAGTCCATGAGTGATGCCTTTCACACAAATTATGAATCTGCAAACAGAAAGCTTTCCCATGCACCCCGTTCCAGTCCAAGTGATGAAAGAAAAATAGAGCAAGGGTCAGAATTACAATGCTCAGGGGTTTAAAGTTGGAATTCCCGATTTTTCGATGGGAACCTTGCAACGACAATTAAAAAGAAAAAGGGAGAAGTGAGGGTCTGAGTCATTTTGAACCTGTTTCCAGCCAGTGCAAACAAATCGGCGGCATCACACATTTAGTAATAATCTGGGAAAGGTCCAGAGGTGCTGAAGTGTGTGGATGTGTGGGGAGGGAGGGGAGCCGGTGCAGAAAGGAGCGCGGGTGGGGGGGTGAGGGGGTGGGCGTTGAAATAGCACGCCTGTGTCTTTAATTCCCTTCCTGAAAGAAGGAAGTCTGCATAGCAATGACAGCCTCACTTGTTCGTGCCTTTAATATGTGATCTGTTTTCTCCAGTGGAGGGCACTCAGTGTATCGCAAACTAGAACATTAGCACCAACAAGCGCCTGAGCATCCTCGCTGTCTGAAAAGCCTTCTGAATGAGTACAGGAGAGCAGCCTCTCTCTTCCAGCACAGCTCACCAAAAACAAAAAAAGCCCAACAACAACAGCAAAAAGAGGGAACACTTTCAACCTGACCGGCTAAATGGAGAAAACTAACCAGCTCAGCTTTGAGTAAAAGCGGGTGGCGGGTCTGGTGGAGGAGGAGGGGGGGCGGGTTGACTTCTTCTACAGCTCTGGAGGCCTGGTGGCATCGTCGCCCATCGCCGGGGACCTGCCAGAGGATGGATTGCTGTGCCTGGGAATGGCAGGGGGCAGCCGCCTGAAGAGGGCTGCTCGGAGCCGGGCAAAGCTTCCTGCCCTTCTTTCTCCTCCAGAACTTGCTTTCCCTCCGCGGTCCGCCGTCGCTCCGGCACTGAAGCTTCCCCATCGATGCTCATGGCTCTCCGGCTGATGTGCTTCATGGCTCTGAGAGGTTAACAAACCTGCCCCCCACCCCCCCCACAACACCCGCTCCATTCCTCTTCCTGCCCCATCACTCATACCCCATCCTCCAGTCCTGTATCCCCCTCCCCAACCCCCCCTTCATCCCCATCCCCTAACCCTCCCCCATCTCCCCTAAATTCTTTTTCGTCCCCCTCCCCCCTCTCTCGGGAACTTTGTGTAGGTTCCTGGCATTCACGCCGGATGGCGGTGAAGTAGGTGGCAGCTGGGCTTGTGTGTGACATGAACATTGTGATGGTTTAAAGGAGAGGGACCGACTTGGAAGGGGGGGAGAAGAGGAAGAAGGGGGAAAACCATCTTCACCAACAAGAAGCAAAACAGCTGGAAAGAAAAGGGGACACAGTTGCCGATGACAAAAGGATGGGTAAGCGAACTTTTCCCTATCTGTAGGACAGCTGCATAAAGAGATATAGATATATATAACGTGTTTGTGTCACGGCATCGCTCGTGCCTTATTTCGCCAGGTGACTCACTTGCTATTATATTTTTAGCTTCTGTGTTTTGTCCCTTCCTGCCCTGCTCCGTTTCTGTCCCTGCAGTGTCCCTTTTTGTGATTAATCTCTCGATGCATGTCCTTACTTAATTGATACACATACATCCTTTAGTTATACATACATCCTGGAGTGATTTTGCTCTCCCATCCACCCCCCCACCTCCTCCCCCGCTCCTGCCCCAGCTCTGCTTCTCTTTTGCTTCCCTGTCCACACACAAGTAGATAAATGCATGTTGCATCCAGGATTCGCCGGGTTTCATATTGAGCAAGCTTTTCTGGGGGACATCTGAATTTTTAGCCCTTTTGCTGAATGCAGGAAGGCAAAGTGAGGAAGAGGTATTTTGCTGTAGACCTGCGTTCAGGAGGGCTGAGTTGGTATTGAGGGGGGGGAGACACTCCTCCCAAAATATATGCTTAGATCTCCAGCAGTCATTTGATAGCTGCTCCTTCCCCACCCCCTCCAATTGTGACAGGTTACATTTCCCCCTCCATCTGTAAGCCAAAAAGCATTTCTATTTGGCTGCTGTTCCTGTCTTAGGGGCAAAAAGAAAATAACAGAATTTAAATGAAAAAGCCTTGCCACTGAAGTGAAAGATTAGAAACAAGAGTCAAAAGATCTTTAGATTAGGAATACTTCCTTGCTCTAACACACACACACACACACACACACACACACACACACACACACACACAGAGTATCTCTGGATTTCAACCAGGGACATCAGAGAAAATAACTATATGTTCCCCCTCTCTGTCCTGTCCCTTTTCTCCACTCTCTTTCCCACTCATCCTAATAATAATAATAATAATAATAATAATAATAATAATAATAATAAACAACTATTTATTACTGAGAAGACAATAGCTCTTTCTCAAAAATTCTCCTGATGAAAAAATGCAGTTGAATCATCAGAAAGATTACAACTCCGGAAAGAAACACTGGCTAAAAGATTATTGTAAGGTCTGAAAAAGTCTCTCTCTGCTCCCGACTTCACCACACACACTTTGTGAATATACATGCATGCAAGACCCTCATAGTTATTCAGAAAACATGGGCTATGTGGGCTGCATGCACACTGAAGCGTTACAGTACAATAAGTTGCTGGCATGTGGAATGTTAAATACTAAAATTGGCTAGAATCTGATGCATATCTGACTCAGTTTTGCTCTGTTGCTGCTAGGAGTATGCCATTCACATCAAGCTAAATGAATATTATTCTGCAAACATCTGTCATATATACACATACACTAAAATAAACCCATGCCGCTGTGCATTAAAACATACCTGTAGGTGATAGTTATCACTATATAAGCAATGATATATGAAGATAGATATGCAAGTGTGTTACGATTTTTAGGAAGCCCTTTATTTATTAGGATGCTATCTCTGAGACTTCCTAATACACAAGATATGACACACCAGGCATGCACACCAATCTACCTTTCTGCAGGCTTGAATTATTTTTTAGCTCACATGAAAGAATCCTACCTTGCACTCTGTTGGAAGATCATTTCAACATATATATATATATATGCATAGTTTTGATGACTACTAGTTTGCTATACTATAAAGATCAGTTATAAATTTGGGTTGCTAATTCGTAAGGGGTCGATGGGACCTGTACTAGCAAGTTGGTTTATTAAGAAACCTCCTGCTTCTTCAGGAACTATGAACAGCCCTAGAGTCAGTCATTTTTCCTTCCAAAAGCTATATCACAGTGACTTGACAAATATGTTTATTGTGAAAATCCCGGCATCCTAGGAATAAGGATGTTCTGGTGAGATGTAGCTTGCTGATGCACATGGGGATGAGTCAAAAACAAGTGGAAGTGGGGAGGGCTTAATTCCTCCTCAAAGGTCATAAATCAAACCAAGGCAACTGAATAGTGTGGTGGTATATATGAACTGGGAACAGCAGAAGGAAGAAGAAACAGAAGAAGGGATAGAAGAGCAAGCATCTCCAGGCAAAACAAATAGGGAAAGAATCGGTAAGGAGTCTAGACTTGCTCTGTGTTATTAGAAGGTCCCACTGATGAATTCGGAGCCTCTGGTTTATTTGGTTTTACAATGTGTGTTTCTCATCTTCTTAATATTGCAGGTTTCCATGTAATCAAGCAGTTGAGAGGCATGAGTGCAGTGTTGGTGCTCCTCCCTACAGTGCTGTTTGTGACGCTCACCGGGGCTCAGCGTGCTTGCCCCAAGAACTGCAGATGTGATGGCAAAATTGTGTACTGCGAATCTCATGCATTCAGAGACATCCCTCAGAACATTTCCGGAGGGTCTCAAGGCTTATCGTTGCGGTACAACAGCATCCAGAAGCTTAAGCCAAATCAGTTTGCAGGCCTTCACCAACTCATATGGCTATACCTTGACCATAATTACATCAGTTCCGTAGATGAGGATGCCTTCCAGGGCATCCGTAGGCTGAAGGAATTAATTCTGAGCTCCAACAAAATTACCCACCTGCAAAACAAAACATTTCACCCAGTTCCCAACCTCCGCAATCTGGACCTGTCATACAACAAGCTGCAGGCACTGCAGTCTGAGCAGTTTAAAGGTCTCCGCAAGCTCTTGATCTTGCACTTACGTTCAAACTCATTGAAAACCGTTCCGATTCGAGTTTTCCAAGACTGTCGCAATCTCGATTTTCTGGATTTGGGCTACAATCGCCTACGGAGTTTATCCCGCAATGCTTTTGCTGGCCTCTTGAAGCTAACGGAGCTCCACTTGGAGCACAACCAGTTTTCTAAGATCAACTTTGCTCACTTTCCACGTCTCTTCAACCTCCGCTCAATCTACTTGCAATGGAATAGGATCAGATCCATCAGCCAAGGTTTAACGTGGACTTGGAGTTCCTTACACAACTTGGATTTATCAGGGAATGACATTGCAGGGATTGAACCTGGGACGTTCCAGTGCCTGCCCAACTTGCAGAAACTCAACCTGGATTCCAACAAACTCACCAACATCTCTCAGGAGACTGTCAATGCCTGGATTTCTTTAATATCCATCACTCTCTCTGGAAATATGTGGGAATGTACTCGGAGCATTTGCCCTCTATTTAATTGGCTGAAAAGCTTCAAAGGAAACAAGGAAAGTACCATGATTTGTGCAGGCCCAAAGCATATCCAGGGTGAGAAAGTGAGCGATGCTGTAGAAACCTACAACATTTGTGCTGAAATTCCAGTCGTGGTGACTGAAAAGCCCTACCAGGCCCCTAAAACTCAGCAGAGGCCCATCTTTGTTCCAAAGCCTACTCTTCCCAAACTGGAAGACTATCAGCCAACCTCTTTTACAGCAAATCCTTCTCCAGATTTCCCAACATCTGGACCAGAGCCAGAGTATGAGCATGTTTCCTTTCACAAGATTATTGCTGGAAGTGTGGCCCTCTTTCTATCGGTGGCTATGATTTTGTTGGTCATCTACGTCTCATGGAAGCGCTACCCAGCCAGCATGAAGCAGCTCCAGCAACACTCTCTTATGAAGAGGCGCCGGAAAAAAGCTCGAGAGTCTGAAAGGCAAATGAACTCCCCTTTACAGGAGTATTATGTGGACTACAAGCCGACAAATTCCGAGACCATGGATGTATCGGTTAATGGATCTGGACCCTGCACGTATACCATTTCTGGCTCCAGGGAATGTGAGGTATGAACCATGATCCTCCTAAATCCATTTCTGCTGCTGGGAAGGAGAGGTAAATGTTCGAAGCTCTTGAGGTGTCTCTAATCACTAGAAAGATTAATGAGCCTTTTTGCTTTTGGGTTTGCCCAGTGTGAAAGGTTATTTAATTAAATTACAGCAATCAGGAAAGTGACTGTGGTTATTTTCAAGAGTTCAGTCCCGAAAGGGGCTTGTTCAAGTCTGAGATGAGGTTGGAATAAACAGCAATGATGAAGGCATTTAGGCCTGTCTTTTAGCCTCTAGCCATTTTATGCTGGTTCAAAGTTGTTGGCCTCACGGGCATTACTGCTGCCACACCTTGATATCAAGGGGGGAGGTGAATAAGGCTGTATTTTATTAGTCTCTAACAGGGGATGAGAAACCGAGTACTTAAACACCCTGGTTTTGCCTAGGGCAGTGGCGGGGGGGGGGGGCATCAGTACAAAATCCCATGGCTTTTCTGACCTATTTCAAATGAATTATCAAGCAGAGGACTTTATGAACTTTCCTCCCAGTATTTTTGTCCTAGTTCCTCAGTGCATTTAGGGATGTGCTTTAAAATCTCCTCAGAATGCAAGGAACGCAAATGTTGTGTTAAGTCCTTTTTAAAGTGCCTTGATTTAAATGTGGATTTAAACGTGGTTCTAATTTTTAAAAAATCAAAACTCAAATAAGCATTTTTATTTTTTATTTTTGCTGAAATTAAGAACTTGAGAAGAAAACAAATAAAGCTTCTATTGGCAGGCACTGCTTAATGCCTCATGTGTCAATTTTAGATCTGCAGGAACCAGTCAACAACTCTGTTTCATTGGAGTCCATTTGTATCAGGTGGATGTTCTGGTTTATGTTTATACAGTATATTTTGGCAGGAATATTTGTTGCTGCCTTAGAGGCAGGCAGCTCCACAGGAACTGGGGACCCACAGCTTCATAGGGGGCTTGTGGGGGTGAATGAAGAGTATTACCGTAATTATTATTATCTTTGTGCACCTTGGCACCATGGCACTTGAATGCTGAGAACACTTCCTTCCCTCTCTGTTGATTGACACTAGACTAACTATGTTGTGCAATAACCTTTACCCAAATCTGAAAGACCAATGTCCACTTTTGTGTGCAGAAAGTTGGGTGCAACCTAAGATGGGCACACTCTGTGATGGATTTCTGTGACTATGCTGCAACATTGACTCTTTGGGCTTCTTATGCCAGCACCCTTAGCTAATATGTGCACTGGTGGAATGACAACTGGGTTCACAACTGTAGGAATTGACTTTCTTCATTGTAGTTGGCATTCTATTTGGATGGAATTCATTTATCCATATATATATATATTCACAATTTTAACAGGGTATAGTGACCCTACCATGGAATGGAGTGAAAGGACAGAAGGATATCCAAATATTTTATAATTTTAAGTATTTTTTCTGCCTGTTTGACAAATGTTCTTCTCTATCAGGTTTTATGTCAATCTATCCCCCCCAAAAAAAAATATCGGAGAGAAACAAGCCTATAAGTCCTGCTCAAAGCCCACTGAACTCAATGAATTACTCAATATGAGTTTATTGGGGCTTAGGTAATGCTCATAGGGCATATCAGGTGCCATGCTTGACAGATCACTGTAGACTGAACTTGTTCAGTGTCAACAGAGTAAGAGAAGGGGGTCTTCCTCAGGGACATAGAATGAGTCTAGGATATTTTTCTTCCATGTAGAAATGAAACAAGATGATACAACATTAAAGCTTGTAGGAATCAAAGGCCAATCCCACTGTCTCATAAACAAATCAAAGGATATGTGTTGCCTTGTAAATGTTGTTTTAGGCTTCTGCTGCAAATGACTTCTTTGCTAAAAGTACCAAAGTTACATTTAAGCTAAGACTAAAGACCATTTGCTCTTTCCCATAGCAGTAATAATAATTTTCCAAAGGCAAATACAGGATGGTCTTTGGTAAAGGTAAAGGTAAAGGTAAAGTAAGGTACCCCTGCCTGTACGGGCCAGTCTTGCCAGACTCTAGGGTTGTGCGCTCATCTCACTCTATAGGCCGGGAGCGAGCGCTGTCCGCAGACATTTCCAGGTCACATGGCCAGTGTGACGAAGCTACTCTGGTGAGCCAGAGCCGCACACGGAAACACTGTTTACCTTCCCGCTAGTAAGCGGTCCCTATTTATCTACTTGCACCCGGGGGTGCTTTCGAACTGCTAGGTTGGCAGGCGCTGGGACCGAGCAATGGGAGTGCACCCCACCGCGGGGATTCAAACCGCTGACCATGCGATCGGCAAGTCCTAGGCGCTGAGGTTCTACCCACAGCGCCACCCGCGTCTTTGGTAGCAAGTGCTAAAACCTTATCATGGGTCCTGGAGGCAGTAATGAGAGCAGGCTGGCAGGCGAATTGCAATTGGACAGCTGTATCCCCAAAAGCAATGAGCAGATCAAGGGCATTTCTTTCAAATGTGTGTAATTAGGTGCCTGTGCTTTCCTTCAATGCGCTGATGCAATTTTGAAGAAAGGAGAAATGCAAACTTTTACAGCAACTACTTATGTATGGCATTTGAGGGCTAGAAAATTCTCTTCTGTCTTATGTACAGTAAATGAGTGTAAAAAAGGGACGTGGGTGGCGCTGTGGTCTAAACCACTGAGCCTCTTGGGCTTGCTGATCAGAAGGTTGGTGGTTTGAATCCCTGTGATGGGGTGAGCTCCTGCTGCTCTGTCCCAGCTCCTGCCAACCTAGTAGTTCAAAAGCACACCAGTGCGAGTAGATAAATAGGTACCGCTGCAGCGGGAAGGTAAATGGCATTTCCGTGCACTTTGGTTTCTGTCATGGTGTTCCGTTGCACCAGAAGTGGTTTAATCATGCTGGCCACATGTCCAAGAAAACTATCTGTGGACAAACGCCGGCTCCCTCAGCCTGAAAGCAAGATGAGCACCACAATCCCATAGTCGCTTTTGAATGGACTTAACTTTCCAGCGGAACTTTACCTTTACCTAAATGAGTGCAAGTTTGATAGGATTTGCAGTCAGTGGCATATCTGGTTGCAGACCAGGCTCCATGCTTCAGTGGCTAGTACCCTCTGTTACACCCCTCCTACAAAGGTGGGTCTCTGATTAATAAGGCAGGCTGCCATTTACATTTTCCACAAATCCCATTTTTCACAATCCCTGAAACTACATCATGGATATTGCAGGAAAATAAACTGCCACTATGTAAGCTAGGGGCCCAGGCACTATACCTATATATTACCCCTTATACATCCAGCCACTCACTGTTCTCTTCAGGAAAAGGAGTCCTGCAGATACCATCTATCTGTTCAGGAAGTCTCCATACAAAGTAGGAACTTGGCCTTTAGTGTGATGGCACCTAGCCTTTGGAACCCCCTCCCATTATATACCAGCCTGGTATTGTCTCCATTACTTTTTCAGCACCTGTTGAAGACCTTTCTTTCCCCAAAAGCCTTTTAAGTGGATATTTTAATCCCAGTCTGTATCTGTGTGGGACATGAAATTTTATAACTGTTGAATCGCTTTGGGATATTTTGTGGGATGTGATTCAGAAATGAAACGAACAAACAAATAATAAATAGGGCATGACAAAGACTTAGGGAATGCGAGAAAAGCGAATGTGCTCTTACTTCCTCATGGCCCTTGAGTATTTGCATTTGACAGAGACAAGATATCCCAGATATAAATAGCTTCATTAAGCTGATTTGCAACTGAAAAGGCTCTATCACAAAAGATAATGAAATGCTCTTATTGTATCGAGCCAGAATAAGTAATCTGGCCAGGAATTTCACTTTGTCTGTCAATATTGTCCTTCTAAAGCCATAAATCCTGTCCACCTTTATGGGTCTTAAAGCCACAATGTATGCAGTGCATAGCTTGTGACCCACTAAACCAAACCCAGCTTACTTGCCAAATATTATTATTTATAGAGAGATGTAGCTGTAAAGATTCAGTGCTATATCAGCAGTGCATGAGATATGACTTGGAGAGCCCTACCGGATACCCAAAAACCATCACCTTTTAACTGCCCTGACCTGACAGTAGAAGGCAGTTAAATGTTAGTCCCCTTTGGCTCATCCTAAGAACCCTTGATGATTCCTATCAAACCATGAACAAGCTTTAAAAAGAATGCTTGAACATATGCCTTCCCTGTACATTCCCTACATCAAGTAGGGGAAAAACATCACCTGGAAATGGGAAGGTCAAGCTTTGACACAGATGATGCTCAAGGTATCAACCATCCTGCCATTGGGGAGCTTGTAGTTTTCAAATATGAACTGCCGTGATTTCCTAAGAGGAAATTACGTTCTGTGTATAACTTCCAGCTAAGGAGAGAGCAAAGGGATGCGGGTGGCGCTGTGGGTTAAACCACAGAGCCTAGGGCTTGCCGATCAGAAGGGCAGCGGTTTGAATCACTGCGATGGGTTGAGCTCCCATTGCTCAGTCCCTGCTCCTGCCAACCTAGCAGTTCGAAAGCACATCAAATTGCAAATAGGGAAGGTAAACGGCGTTTCCGTGCGCTGCTCTGGTTCACCAGAAGCAGCTTAGTCATGCTGGCTTCCTCGGCCAGTAAAGCGAGATGAGAGCTGCAACCCCAGAGTCATCCATGACTGGACCTAATGGTCAGGTGTCCCTTTACCTTTAAGGAGAGAGCTAGGATGTAAGTCCTCCGCACTTTTCTGCTACCTGCTCAAGAGAGGTAAGGCTCAGAGAAAAGTGAGGTTTATGTGAAGCAAAGGGGGGTTATAAGCCCCATTTCAAGTCAGGCTAAGGTAAAAAAGAAATGGGCCCAAATTAAAATTGAGCCAGATTTTTTGAGTGGACAAATTTCATACTTAGAGCTCCCCATGCCTCCAGTGTGTTGTTACCAGTAATAGGACACAAGCCATGTGCAGGCCACAGATGAATCATAATTATTGAAAGGTGAACGTTTATCAACAATCATGGCCAATGCAAAATTCTTTGATGTGCTAGAAAATGCAATTGAGATTTGG